TGTTCCAGTGGTAACTGTAGTTGATTCTGGTGTTGTTCCAGTTGTAACTGTAGTTGATTCTGGTGTTGTTGTTGTTCCAGTGGTAACTGTGGTTGATTCTGGTGTTGTTCCAGTTGTAACTGTAGTTGATTGTGGTGTTGTTGTTGTTCCAGTGGTAACTGTAGTTGATTCTGGTGTTGTTGATGTTCCAGCGGTAACTGTAGTTGATTCTGTTGATGTTCCAGTGGTAACTGTAGTTGATTCTGGTGTTGTTGATGTTCCAGTGGTAACTGTAGTTGATTCTGGTGTTGTTGTTGTATCAGTGGTAACTGTAGTTGATTCTGGTGTTGTTCCAGTGGTAACTGTAGTTGATTCTGGTGTTGTTGATGTTCCAGTGGTAACTGTAGTTGATTCTGGTGTTGTTCCAGTTGTAACTGTAGTTGATTCTGGTGTTGTTGATGTTCCAGTTGTAACTGTAGTTGATTCTGGTGTTGTTGATGTTCCAGTGGTAACTGTAGTTGATTCTGTTGATGTTCCATTGGTAACTGTAGTTGGTTCTGATGTTGTTGACGAGGCACTTCCAAGTATGGCACCTGTTGGAAAACAGTTTTGCACACATCATTAATTCTGCCATGCCTGACTCTATGATTATTGTTTTTGAAACATTTCCGTTATCTGCTCTCATTTTGATTCTTCCAGACGGCAAAAGGGCCATGGCAGTTGTGCTTCCTCCACTAAATGCCCCAAGCCTGTAATCAAAGATGTCTGCTGTCACATGTTAGATATTTTGCTGACCTTTCAAATGAACTCTACTGCCAAATTCTGGGTTGTCTAGTAAGGAGGGAAGGAAGTAGGTCTCAAAATACGCTTGAAAGTATACAGCCATCCTGTTGAAAATACAGAATTTAGATTCAGCGTATGTTGATGTCAACAGGATAGCATGACCTTGGATTTAGGGACCTCAAATTTTAAGGTGCCTGTTCAGTGTGGGCAGGTACAAAATGCAGGCAGCCATCTTAAAAATTGGGATAATCCTGAGGGATGGGCAACTGCTGCTAGATGGCAATTGTTCAATAAGTGGAAGAGTTTGGTGGATTTCTGGGAGTGACTGCCTCAACCAGAATACAGCCTGATATTTTGAGGGAAATTAGGTAGAGGGAGATATTCAAGCGTTTGACATGGGGCATAAAGTGACCTTAAAATAATCCGGCCCAAATACTGCTCCGATCCTGCTGACGAGCTTGTTATCAGTGGGTGGCGAGGAAGCATTTTGGTTCAGGCTTTAGCCTCTTTAAATGCACAGGCCTGGGGCCTAGTCTGCCCTGACCCTAAGCCTGCGTGGCAGACAATGAAATATGGACTCAGTAAAAACAAAAGCTCTGAAATGAAATTAATGGCAACCACTGTCAATTCATAGAATCTCTACATTGTGGAAATAGGCCATTCAGCCCAACAAATCCACACCGACTCTCTGAAGAGTATCCCAAACAGACTCACACCCCACAACCCATCCCTGCATTTCCCATGGCCAATCAATCTAGCCTGCACATCTTTGGACTGTGGGCGAAAACTAGAGTACCCAGAGGAAACCCACGCAGACACAGGGAGAAGGTGCAAACTCCACAAGGCTGGAATTGAAGCCAGGGCACTGGCACTATGAGGCAGCAGTGCTAACCACTGAGCCACCATGCCAATTGTTGCAAACATCCATCTGGTTCTCTTATGTCCTTCAGGGCAGGAGATCTAGCCTACATTTGACTCCAGGCCCATGGCAATCTGTTGACTCTAAACTGCCCTCTGGACAATTCCAGATGGGGCAATAAATCCAACGAATGAAAAATAAATCTGCATTTCAGTAGAGCGTGCATTATTCTGCATCCAGGCTTACAGCCTGAAGGATAGGTTTGGAGAGGTAGTAGGAACTGCAGATGCTGGAGAATCCGAGACAACAAGGTGCAGAGCTGGATGAACACAGCAGGCCAAGCAGCATCATAGGAGCAGAAAGGCTGACGTTTCGGGCCTAGACCCACTTGTTTCACTGCGAAACCATGGCCCTCAGGAGAAGCTCCAACTGAGGAGCAACATCTACCTCTTCCCCAAACCCATTCTCCTCTGTGTTTCCACCCACCTGTAATGGTTCTCAGCGTTGGACCTCACTGCCCTTTATGTTGGTGTTCATGCGAGGAATGAGGTGTCTTTCTGATCCTATGTGCTTGCGCGATTCTCGTGACACTTGATCCCCCTTTCTTCTGAATCCACCCATGATGCGGTCTCTGCAACAACTGTCCACTGCAAGAGTGGATTTCCGCAGACTCACAGCACACTGTGCGAGGAAACTCTATCCCCCTCCCCCCCCCCAGTTCTGGACTCAAAACGTTAGCTCTGCTTTCTCCCTCCACGGGTGCTGAGTGTCTCCAGCGATTTCTGTTTCGGTCTCTCTCCCAGGTTTCTTCCATGCTCTGCCCCTGAATTGGGTCTGACCCACAGCACCATCATTGCCAGCCCTGGGAGCATAAGGCTGCGACTTGGGTTCAGAATCCAGCCTGACAGGTATCAAACTAGCGCTGTTGGCACAAACCTGGTCTACATCGACCGGCCTGCCAATCCCCCCTCCCATCCTCCACCAGTCCCTGTTGCTGTGGCAACATAGACGCTTACACATATGTTATAGCCCTGAATGGTGGACAGTGGTTGCAGAGGCTCCAATTTCGTTCAACCAAGCAACTGACCAGGAATCTCTCCCACTCTCAGTGCCTGCATGTGTTGGAAAGATTGGCAAGGGCATTACCCACTACACCACAAGACCACCCCCTCTCCTGCTCGCCCTGTCCTAAAACTGTTGGTTTGCAATGTCCTGCCTGAAGCAGATTCAATATTTAAAAGGGAAACATTTGTAGCCCTCTGAGGCAGTAGAGAATATATTCAAAGAAACATTGGGCCAAATAAACTCTTTTTATTTGACTGTGCTGCATCCTTCTATGATCAATACACAAAAGTGAATTTGTCAAAAATATTCAAGGTACTTAAATAAACTACTGAATCTAATCTGATTAGCAAATTATAAACATGTCTGTTAAATTAATAAATCAATAAATTAATAAATAGTGGGATCACATTAGGTCCTAGTGAAAAGATTGCAATTTGGTCAAAGATTATCACTATTCATTCCCTAAAAGCTCCTATATATACATCTTCCGGCATATATCAGGCTTTATTTACATAGATGTCACAGATCACAGAGTCCACTTGTTTTGCATTAGTATATATTTTCAATAGATGATACAGAACAGTTTCCTTACTTGTGGCAAGTACCAGGAGGAATGGTTTCAGCAGACCCATGATCGAGTCCTTGGGCGACAGGTAGAAATTCTAAAGTAGAACAAAAAAAACCCACAATTTAAATTTCTGCACATCCATATCGTCCATTAAATTCACTCTACTGTTAGTTACGGAGCGAGGACTCACAGTCAAGGAGTCAGCTGGTTAGAGTCAAGTGGGTTTGGAATCACACGTGGGCCAGACCAGGTAAGGATGGCAGATTTCCTTCCCGAAATGGTATCAGTGAAGCAGGTGCATTTTTAGAAATACAGTTTTCATGTGACTGAGACTGGCTTTCGATTTCAGGTTTTCTGGCTCCAATTCAAATTCCACTGTTGGGATTTGAACCCAGGTCTCTACAGCATTAGCCTTAGCCAATTGATGTTGCCACTATCTATTGGAGATACTGTACAGGTTGATGCCCAGCATCAGAGGGCTGATCTCTAGAAGAAATAAAGAAGCTTGCCCCTTCCAGCCCAACATGGAGCTGAAAGATGGCCTCATAAAGCTATACACAATCGGAAGAGGTACCCCAGAACTAAACTACAGCAGTTAACAGAAACCAATCCTTTGAATCTGTTGTACCTTTCAGTTAAATTGTAGCTACACCTCAACTAGCCTTTGCTTGACATCTCTTGATGCCAGCGAGACACGGAAGCTTTCTACCAATGTTTCAACATAAGACCCTGGATGTCACTCAAAGGGACATCACCCCCAAATGAAGAGGTGCCGCACCAGACTCGTCAGAGGCACTTACATCTATGTGAAGTGGCTATGACTGAGACTGACAGGTACTTTGCTCCCTGGATCTTCCTGCGAGCAGCAGAGAAATGGGAACCGATAAACGAGGCAAGAAGACCCTATAGTGTGGAAGCAGGCCATTCAACCCATCGAGTCCATTACGACGCTCTGAAGAACATTCTGCCCAGTTGCACCCGCTTATCCTATCCCTGTAACTCTGCATTGCCCATGGCCAATCCACCCTAACCTGCACATCCCTGGACACTATAGGCAATTCAGCACAGCCAATCCACCCTAACCTGCACATCCCTGGACACTATAGGCAATTTAGCACAGCCAATCCACCCTAACCTGCACATCCCTGGATACTATGGGCAATTTAGCACAGCTAATCCACCCTAACCTGCACATCTCTGGATACTATGGGCAATTTAGCACAGCCAATCCACCCTAACCTGCACATCTCTGGACACTATAGGCAATTTAGCACAGCCAATCCACCCTAACCTGCACATCCCTGGATACTATGGGCAATTTAGCATGGCGAATCCACCCTAATCTGCACATCCCTGGACACTATTGGCTGGCCAAAAAAAAGTTGGCGGGGTATTTAAGGAGGTCCTTAAGAATGGGAGACTACATGGCTGGAGAGAATGAGTTTGTGATGGACCAGGGATGGTGGTGGAGTCTTGCAGTCCATTGTTCCTCCCATCCTGCATGGGCTAAAACCTAAAACCTGATACACTTACTAAATAAGAATCTGTCCATCTCAAAATCGAATATTACATTTAACTCAGCAACCACAACCTTTTGGAATTTGCCTTTAGGATTTCCATTCCTTTTAGCATGAAAGAAATTAAGGAATCCTTAAAGGCCCAGTTGGAAATTTCAGAATATGTCCACTTGTCTGGATTGTCTTGCCAAAGGCTTTCCTGAGTCTAAAGAATTTGATTCCTTTTTCAGATTCCCTTTCAACAAACAAACAGTGTACCTCCCTGTAAAAGTGGACGGGTGGGGGTGGGGTGGGGGGTTCCTGCTTTACTTGACTTGGAAACAAAGTTTATTCATGTTGGCTTGTGATTACAAGCCCCCAAATAGCACTGAGTTTCTTCAGTCAATGGTAGTCCCAAGGGCAAGCGCTGAATAAAGATCAGAATGTTCACTGTAGGGAAACTGTCACTCACTCCCGCAGGGTGGAGTCCATACAAACAAGTCGATGCAGAATGATGCCTGCAAGCTCCTGTAAATTTCTGATAAAAATGTCCTTTGCTGCACATTCGGGAATCAACACATACCAATTGTATCAAATTCCATCAGATGTAATTTCTCTCCACACTCTTTCGAATTTTAGTTTGACCATAAAGGCAGCACGGTGGCTCAGTGGTTAGCACTGCTGCCTCACAGCGCCAGGGACCTGGGATCATTTCCAGCCTCGGGTGACTGTCTGTGTGGAGTTTGCGCGTTCTTCCCCCGTATCTGTGCGAGTTTCCTCCGGGTGCTCCGGATTCCTCCCACAGTCCAAGGATGAGCAGGTTGGGTAGATCGGTCATGCTAAATTGACCCATAGTGTTCAGGGATGTATGGATTAGCCATGGGAAATACAGGGTCACAGTGACAGGGATGGGGGGTGGCTCTGGGTGAGATGCTCTTCAGAGGGTTGGTGTGGACTTGATGGGCAGAATAGCCTGCTTTCACACTGTAGGGATTCTATGATTCAGCACCTAACAAAAACCACAAAATTGAACAGGAGAGAAGAACACTGTTCAGCTCAACTCTTCCATCCCAGAAGATTCTGCACGGTCCAACTTGTCCAAATATAACTAATTTGTAAAATATGGTTTTGCAATGCAGATGCTGAGCTTCATTTCCAATGATGGTGGGGAAATGGCACGGTTAGGGTGTTAACTGAATCAGAATTACGTAGAAATTGATGAGTCTGCAATTTGGAACCCTTGTAAAACTTTTTTTCTTTGCGTCAACAACGAATGAGGAGCTTGTGCCAATCGCTTACTTCATTACCATAACCTGAAAGAGACACCCCAGATTTCAAAACAAGTGAAATCTCAATGTGCTAATTGTTCTGGCTTGTTGAGCAGGTTTATCACTGTCCATACGTGCCTGAGCCAATGCAAACAGAAAATGGTTACAAAAATAATAGAAAAATGTCGGAGATAGTCAACAGGCCCAGCAAAACCTGTGGGGAGAAACAGAATGCTTGTTCTGCTTTTAGTTCGGGTTTTTAGGATCTGCAGTGGATCATATTTGTAAGAAATGGTTACACATGAATTCTTGCCTTTGTTTCTGTTGTACTCTCTTTTTGCCAAATGCAATGAACGGGTTTCTTTCAGCTTTGTCCTGGATTACACCCTGCGGGAGTGAGTGACAGTTTCCATGTCAGCTTTCCTTTGTCTCCTACAATGAACAGTCTGACCTCTGTCACAGTCTCTCCCTTGAGACTGTGCCTGACTACAGGAACGCAATGCTACTTGGGGCTTTGTACTCACAAGCCAACACCGTTCCACTTGAGCTGGCATTCGTCCATTGCCCCTATGCTTGGTGACACACCCTTGCTGCCCGTCCAGGAATGCTGTGGAGTCATGAAGACATACAGCACAGACAGAGACCCTTCAGCCCAACTCATCCATGCTGACCAGGTTTCCTGTACTTAACTAGTCCCGTTTGCTGTCACTTGGCCCATATCCCCCTAAATCTTTCCCATTTGTGTAAATGTTTTAATGATACTCGCCTCTACCACTTCCTCTGGCAGCTCATTCCACGTACACATCACCCTCTGTGTGAAAAAGTTGCCCCTCTTCCCCTGTCACCTTAAACCTATACCCTGTAGTTTTGGGCTCCCCTACCCTGGGGAAAAGACCTTGGTTATTCACCCTATCCATGCCTCTCATGATTTTAAAAGCCTCTATATGGTCCCCCCCTCAGCCTCCTATGCTCCAGGGAAAAAAGTCCCAGCCTATCCAGCTTCTCCTTATAACTGAAACCCTCCAACCTTGGTAACATCCTTGTAAATCTTTTTTGCACCCTTTCCAGTTTCATAACTTTATGAAACTCTTGTTCTTGCTTTCAAGTCCCTCCAAGGGACTTCCCCTCACTATTTCTACAGTTTCCTGCAGGGTTACAGCCATCCAAGATAGAGTCATAGAGTCATAGAGTCATACAGCACACAAGAGACCCTTCAGCCCATTGAGTTTGCTGATCTATCTACACTAATCCTACATTCCAGCACGTGGCCCACAGCCTCGAGTTTTGAGGTCTCTGCACCACTTCACTCCTGGCCTCTTGTGTATCACGAATTTCCAAATCACCACAGCATTTCACCATCAATGAATGTGTACAGGCTGCCTCGACCCTCAGTTCTGGAATTCACTCTCTATAAGCCTCTTTCCCTCATAAGGCCGTAAGTAATAAGTGCAGAATTAGGCCATTTGGCCCGTCGAGGCCACTCTGCCATTCAATCATGGTTGATATGTTTCTCAAAGACAACACAGTTTGGAGCTGGAGGAACACAGCAGGCCAGGCAGCATCAGAGGAGCAAGAAAGTTGACGTTTTGGATTGGGACCCTTC